TTTGAATGGAAAAAAGGACCCACTTTAACACATCTACCAAATAAATCTAGAAACCTAAATTCAAATTTTGCTACAAAACTTATCACAAAAGTAAATGATAACTTAAATTGCTTAAAATCATGGGAAGACTTATTAACCTTCTCTCACAAAAAGAGAACCCATTACATGAACAAATAAAATCACACATAGATAATTTTGACACTATTCAAATGATTAATTACAATCATAATGTTAGCAAGTAGATGATATAACACACAAATGCAAATAATATCAAATAAAATAGATCAAGGTGACATAGGTGATGCAATTAAACTTATGTCCTCAGATAACCGTCTTTCTCCTATTAATGAAGAAACATTGCAACTATTGAAACAATTATATCCCGAAGCTTCCACAGATAATCTACCCATCCCTCCAATCCACCAGATTGTAATTTTTACCAGTGGTATAAATTCTTTCAACAAAAATTCAGAAGGTGGTCTTGATGGTTTCAGACCCTCCTATTTCCAATACTTAATTAATTCAAAAAATCTTTCCCATAGTTCTCTCATCAAGGTTTTAACAACTTTTAGTAATAACATAATTAATAATGATATCCCAATACAAACTCATCAAATCCTTTTTGGTGCACGTCTAATTACTTTATCCAAGCCAGATGGTGGTACCCGTCCCATTGCAGTAGGCTTCTTTTTCAGAAGATTAATAGACAAAATCATAATCGGACGTATTAAATATGATGCTGTATCAAGTAGGTTTCGGGATCAAGTGCGGCTGCGAAATAGCGGCTCATACCTTAAGAATATACATAGAAAACCGGCCACTGTAATATGGAAACTATATTTCAAAAATGCCTTCAATAGCCTACATCGTACCTCTTTTTTAAAATTTTTCTTTGAAACTTTTCCCTGTTACTCTAAATTCATTGAATCCTCATATAGTTTTCAGCGCCTCTAACATATGGATATCTTTTCGGATTTTATCCCAAGAAGGCATCCAACAAGGAGATCCATTTGGATTTCTTCTTTTTGTTTTGGAATCCATTATCTCATCTACCAAATCAAACAAAATTTTGACCTAGGTTTTAATCTGTGGTATTTGGACGTGGGACCATCTGTGGCCCCTCAGCTAATGTACTTAGAGCCTTAAAACACCTGGAAATCAATTCCCAAGCTATCGGCCTGGTACTTAATTGTTTTTTAAACAATAAGCCACGAAAGTTGGAAGGCTACAAAATCATTGCACCCGATAGTTTAACCCTACTTGGGTCCCCATTAGCTAATTCTACCAAGTCAGAAGATTTCCTTCATAACATTTTTAAAAACTTTTACAGCATGGAGCACATTTTATGTCACCTACCGCCACACCAACGTTTATTTTTAATACGCCAATGCCTTTATATACCTAAATTTTTGCATATTTTCCAATTATCATCTTTTTTCAAAAACAACGAATTCATATCTATAATTCAGGATAAATTTAAAATATTTTTAGAAAAAATATTAAACATATATTTAAACTCATTCAGTTGGTCACTTGCTCAGCTACGCTCTAAACTAGGCTGCCACTCAATCTTTTATCCTTATCATCATTCATATCATCTAGATTATCAAACAATTCTATATTTCTGGCTTCATATGCCCTACCGATCGATTATTAGATGACGCAATTGACAAATGGAAGGCAAATAAACCCATTAACACTGACTTACCATCAATCATCACGCACAAAAATACAGATTCTTTTTAATATTCTTGTTTAAAACATTTACATATCACACAATGTAACTTTATTTTCTTCGTGAAATCTTGTTTTATTTTCTTTATTTTTTCCCGCTATATTTTAAATATATTGATAACCAAAATTAGTTGGAAATGTTATAGGTCACAAAGATAGATAGATTAAAAATAACAACACTAAAACTAAATAAGAGAAGAATATATTTTATATGTAATATTTTTTAATTTGTAAAATGTTTAACAATCATAGTATGAAGATGAAATTATAGAGATGGGTTCTCCTGAATCAAATCCGAATCTTAAAATTCTAGATGGAAAATTTTATAAAGTAATTTATGTGAAAAAGAACAAGGTACAAGCTGAATGTCAAAATTGCACAAGTAAAAAAGTTATTAAAGTTTCAACAAACTCCTTTACAAACTTTGTTAAACATATTAAAGTATATTTAATTTTATTTTTTAATTATCAACATAATAATACCTATACTTAAATCCATCTTAGATAATTGTTATTAAAACTTTTTATAGAAGATGGTTGATTACAAATTAAAATCATTTTGGATATATATTTTTTAGGGGTGTGTCGAAACCACTTTTTGGAGGCCTATCCGATATTACCGATATTAAATTGATATCTGCCGATTACCGATCCGATATCATATCTAATTTTGTATTCTCTAAAGATACCAATGCTTTTAATTTTTAATATACTCTATTAGTATAACATCTATAATTTAACTATACCATAACTTATGTGATTTAAATATATTATAATGATGAGTTATAGTTTATATTCAATTCAATTGCAATTCTAAAAGTATATAAAATATTTTTATTATTAAATCACTTTTATATAATAAATAATAACATTAATCTATATACATAATAAGTAATAAACAATTATATTATGAAATTTGAAATAAATATTTAAAATAATATTTAACATTAATATAACGAAGATTTCTTTTTAGAAATACCAATATTTCCAATTTATCAGAGGTCAGCTTGCGGCGATAATAACTGTCAATATCACCAGCTTCACTAAAAACAGATTCTGAAGAGAATCGCACACCTTTATAAACAGAATGCGCAAAAAAATAACAATATGGCAGAATATTTATTAATTAATTATTAAACATAATAATTTTCTTTAATGCATTTTGAATTGATTAAATTTTGTAAATCAATACTGTAATGTAATTTTACTTATATCATAAATAAATAAAAGTAACTAATAAAGTTAAATTCTACCTTATTATAATTATTTTATTAAGAGCCTTTTAAAATTATCTAATATTTTTATATATCAATTGTAGCTTAAATATTTTCTCTAATAAGAACTTGCTAAAATGATTATATATAAAATATATTAGGGATGTGCCGATTTTTTTATCAGATCGGATCCGGCCGGTTTCACCCATTTTTAAATATCGGTTATCCGCCAATATTATAAAATTTGATCTGATATAAAATGGCTTCTTTAACAAAAGTAAAATGTTTCAAAAAAATTATATATAAAATCATTTATTTTTATAAATAAAATCTAAATCCATTTTTATGTATATTTTTTTAATAATAATTATGTATTTAATAATTATAATATAAAGTTGTACATTATTATAATATTTTTTATATATAATTAATTATTTTGCAAGAAATATATAAAAAAAATTTGAAAAGAGATTTAAATGATATTTATATATTTGATATTACAAACGCAAGAATTAATAAGTCATATTAGAAAATAAACTAATTTAAATAATACATAAAAATCACAAATAAACTAATATTAAAATCCCTGGTTATTATAATTAAGTTATTAATAAATATTTAATTAATTATTGTAAATATTCATTCTTATATATGTATGCTATGTTCTTCACAAATAAATAATAAAAACTGTATTTTATAAACTATTCTAATTTAATTGGTATTTATAATTTAAAAGTATTTTGTATTTAAGATACTCGAATTTAGTAAAAGATACAAGTATCTTTTTGATATTTTGAAAAAGATACTAGTATCTGTATCTAAGATTCATTTTTTTATAAACAATCTGTATCTAGATTCTTTTTCTGGAGGACCTGCCCAACTCTGCTCCCTAGTCGTAACCTTGGTAATCTCAACTGAGACATTGGTTTACGTCTAGGTTGTGACATCATACAGCCTCATGCTTGCATCAAATGCAAATCACCCATCGGTTCAAAGGGTAGGCATGGTCTTAATTGTATATTTAGTCAAGGGCGACACCAACGGCACACAGCAGTAAACCATGTAATAAATAGAAGCCTAACATCTGCCCACATTCCGAACAATCTTGAACCAACAAACTTATCTCAAGTAGATTGCTTAAGACCTGATGGTATGACAACCATACCTTGGGCCCTCGGTAAATCACTTATATGGGATTATACATGTGTCTCGTCTTTCCCCTCAAACATAAATATCAATCTAATAATTCAGGCAGAAATTAAAAAGACCAACAAATATAAATATTTAAAAAATTTCATATTCACTCCAGTAGTGACGTATAAGAACGGGCATTTTTCGCCCTCAATTTAAGTTTTTAAAATATATGGAAAATAAAATACGGCTTTTTACAAATGATCCCAGAGAATTTCTTTATATTCGCTTCGCCAAAAAAATCAAATTGAAATTTTTAGACACAATTATGGTTCCTTTAGGGACTCAATTATAGAATTTTGTTTTTAATTATATAATATAAATTTAGAAATTATAATTTTTAACTATTATTATGTAAAATTTGAATAAATATTTTGGATATTTAGAAAACAGAAAAAAAATTAATTACACTTAATTGATTTCTATTGGCTTTTGGGGGAATGGGTAAAATCAGATGTTCATCCATATTATTCTTTCATGCAAATCAAATCCACCATGTTTTCGATATCAAGATCTTCAGTTATAGAGAATTTGGTATTAAATATGTTGCATGGAGCACATTTTTTACGTCTACTTAAATGATTTTAAATATCAATAAAAGTTGTAAATTTTTTAACCCACCCACTCATAGTTTAAATATTTTTCTTAACCCGCCCGTCCTCCTGCCCATTCTTTGAAAATTTTCAACCCGCTCGCCCGCCTGTCCATTTAGATGAGCGGGCGAGCGAAAACCCGGCTCAATGCAGACCTCTAGTTTACAATTCAATTTTAACAATCTAATAATTTGATTCAAAAGATTAGGCTCAATGCAGACCTCTAGTTTACAATTCAATTTTAACAATCTAATAATTTGATTCAAAAGATTAAAGCCTGCAATAACTCAAATTTTACCGTACCTAAAAGTAGGAGGATACATATTGATCAGAGACTATGGTAGGTACGATTTGGCTCAACTAAGATTTAAACAAGGTTAGTTTTATTCTTAAAAAATGGCGAATTTTAACACCAGTATTTTTTACCAAATTTTCATATTTATTTTATAAGTATATATTTTTTTTCCATTTTTACCTGTTTAAAATTAATATTTCATCGGTATAAACAATAGATTATCAGTATTAAACAGGACTTCGAACCGAACCGCGAAACGCACCTTTATAATTTTTTGAACCGTAACCGAACCGTTATAAAGAAAATATAAGAGCGAACCAAACTGTTACAAATAGTTTAAGCCGGTTCATAGCGGTTTTAAAAAATAATAAATTTTAAATTATCAACTTAAACTTGAAAATTTCCTTTGGAGCAATTTAAATTAATGATTTATTTTACAATTAAAATTTTTTACAATTAAATCTCCATTATCTTCTTATCAATCAATACCAAGTTTATTGTTTTTTTTATATACTCAACAATTACTAATTAATTAGATATGAAATAACCTTTATGGTTAAATTAAATTATGAATTATAAAGATATAAATTTATGATTAATTTTTTTTTTAAATCAAAATTATTAAAACCGGAACGACCGAAAAGAACTTTTATAAATTTTAAACCGAACCAAAATGAATTTCTTCAAAAAATAATCGAAATGGAGCTAAACCTTTATAAAATTTTAAACTAAAATCCGAAATGATCGGAACTACTGTACTTAACGATATGAATACCTGGTATTAAATACAAAATTGGTCGGTAATTTTTTGATCAGTAAAAAATAAATCACCTTTCCTTTTAACTGATAATGAAATGTAGTAATAGATATCATTGAGAATCCTACTAAGAACATTACCATTTTGCAAATTTCTTAAAACGATTGATCCTCAGGTTGTTAGTAATCTGTTATCGATACCATAAACTTATAATCTCCTAAGAACAAACTAAATAAGATTTAAATTCTTATTTTCTTCATTAATATTTTTACATAAATATATTGGTAATAAAAATATTTCCTAAGTTTCGTCATTTTAAATAGAGCACTTTTCAAAAAAATTTTTTGTTTTACCGGAAATACGACACCGAAGACATTTTTTAAGTAATTTTCGCATTTTCTTAAGGAGAATTTTAAGGGCCCCAAAATGATATAAAATTTGTTACTTTATACCAAAAATATTTAGAGTATTTTAAGATTCGTTAAAAGAGGATAAAGCTCTCATCTAACTTTGAAGGCCCATAACTCAAGATATATTTGACCTAGGGCATTAAAATTTTGATTTATTTAAAATATACAATTTTTTAACCTTCATGCCAAGTATCATCCTTTAAAAATGGTCTTTCGAAAATCACTTAATTTTGGTCGATTTGTCATTGGAATTACTCGCTTATATTATAATCTATTTTTTATATTTATTTTAAAACCAATTAATTTTATAAATAAATTCTGTTAACTATTAAATTTTTCCCTATATTATCCCTTTTAGGTAAATGTCTAGGCGACAATTTCTACGTTCGTTGTGATGGCACCAGAGCTTATTTTTTTACTCAAGGTAAATCTTCTTTGAATGCTAAAATATTTTCCAAAAATGATAAATTTTGTTACCTTTGTAATTGTTAATCGTTATCTCAGTTTTTAAAGGTAAATTTATTTACCTGAATTTTTTAATTATTTAACAAAATTTATTTTAAAAAATTAAGGTTTCACAACTCAAAAATTAAAAAAAATCCTATCAGTAAATCTTTTGTAATATTTATAAAATGATAAAAAAAATTCTATCTTCAAATCTTGGTTCAAATTATTGGGCGAAAAAATCTTTAAATATTTATTGAAGATGTCTGTTAAACCTTGAAAAAAAGTATAATTTACCAACTGCTATTGTTTTATATATGCACATACCCATATTTTTTTTTATTAATTAAGCATTATCAATTACAAACATAATAAATAATGCAATGTTAAGAGTGTGTTAGTTAAAAATATTTTTATGTTTCTGTAAATTCAAACGAATGAATTCTGACGCTGCTATCTTTATAACATGATGCTATGATATACTTTGAACTTTCTGTTTTATCATTTGAGAGATCTGGTTTAAACCGTAGTCTTTTGATTGTTGAGCTATAGCTAATTAATGTTATTAAATATGATTAATTTTTATTTTTTAGAGGAGATGAGAAACTTATTTTTAGATTTAAATGGGGGAAAACAAAACAATCAGCTGATCGAAATTCAAAATATAATGGATAAACGAATCATAGTTAACAGAAAGAAAATGTTGAAAATGCATAGGGTTTGGATACAATGTAAATATCAAAAAATATGAGTAAATGATTTTATTTGTAATTTATGCTAAAAGCTATTATATTTTATAAAACATTACAAGACATCGAAATATAAAAAGCGTAGCAATTCAAAAGTCATTATATTATTAAAAATCTTAATTTAAATCTGTATGATTTGTAATTTATATGCATGGATTATAAAATTAATATAAATATTATATAAATCATCTATATGAAAATACCTCATCGAAATATCAAATAAATATTTAAAATCGGCAGTTGATCCTAATTTATTTAAAGTTAACATCCATATTTGTATTGAGCTATTCTCCAGCCCAAATGCTACTAGGTATCTGTAAATATGTTTAAGATGATATTAATATTTAAAAAAAGGATATTGCCATGAGTCCTCAGATCCCTAATTAAGGAAAACACAATTGCTGGCATATATATCCTTATATCTGAAAATTAAAATTGTTTAGCAGACCAAATAACTTTAATTGCTATATTTATTTAAAAAATGTTTGAGTTTTTGGTTAATAATTGAGATATTCTTTTTTGCAAACATTTATTTATATAATTATAGGGAAAATTTCCGATGCGAGAGGTTGCAGTGAAGCAGACAATTTATATAATAATTAAAAATATAGCTTCATTCGATTATTATATCGAAAAATATTTTTAGTAGTTTATCAAACTTTATTCATGCATTGAGATTATACTTCAAAATATCGTCTTCGCCATGGTATCGATAATCTTTAGAATCGACTGTAGTTATCGGATTTGACAGTAAAATCATTTGACTCTTATTAGTGTTCCAACATAAACTTTTACTTTCAACATTTTCATCTTGGGTCCATAGTATGGCCTTTATTAAAGTAAAAATCGAATATAATAAAATTATGAGGATAAATTGGGTGAGATTCAATATTGAATAGGAAATTAGAAAAAATATGCGTACCTTTTTATCCCTAGATACGGTTATAAAATTATTATAGAGTGTTTCAGGGCCGGATACCCAGCTGCAATCCCAAATAATCCTTGTATGATTAACTAACTTTTTTGAATTTAAGGAATTGTTCGTTCCATCAATTTTTTGATACATTTTTGAATTATCTAATTAAAAAAAAATTAACTATGAATTTAGAATAAATTTAATTGACAGTTTAAAAAAAGAATAACGTCATTTTTTCATATAAATGTCTTTTATGTTCAAAAAAAATAGAATGACAATAAATCTATTTAAAAATGTATTACCTAATATTTCGTACACATTCCAAGATCTATCCCTAGAAACTGACAATAATAAACGGCCATTATGGCTGAAAGTCATTTGGGTTATTGTTAAAGAATGGCCACCTTCGATCGACAGTTTTCCAATCAATTTGTATATTTTTGCGTTATCGTGCACGCCTTTATGATAGTGTGTGTAATGATTATCGCAATCCCATAAATATATATTAGCGAACTGGGGCTTGGAAGCCTGTTTTTTTTAAAATATTATCGGCATTTATAAAATAACAATTTCGCCTTAGTGTAAAAAAAAATTAACAAGAAAATAGGTTTGAATGAAGTTGTATTAAATCAGTAATCATTATTATGCCATTAAAATAGTTATAAATAAATAAACTTTTTTAAAAATGTAGTGATTAAGAGTAGCAATGAAAAAAAAATATAACTAAATGGTTAATAGAGTTCTCAAAAAGTAACTATAATTGTATTTATACCTGGCTAAAGTGTTAAATTTTGTGAAAGTTGTTTTTTGGCAAAATATGGTCATTTTTGATGATTTTACTAACAGGGTTGAATAAATTTTCAAAAACACAAATACAGATTTAAAAAAATTTATAAATACTTTGACGAATAATTTTGCCAATCACATAAATTATGTAATCATGTAAATATTAATATCACCGTTTTAGAGAGCTTATATTGCTCAATTCATGATTTTGGTATTTTTAGTTGAACAGATATTACAATTAGCTTTCACTATATTATTGATTCTTGATGATACTTTGTTTACCTTGTCACAAAATTCATGAGCATAATATAATATAGAAACTCCCTTTCTTCAATTACTATCTTTCACATCTTCTAAAAACTTGTCATTTTAGTAATACTCATTTTAAAGATTCTTAATTTTTTGGGTAACTGGTCACAAATTAACATTTAAATGTGGATTTATATTTTAAGTTTATAATAAAAAAAGTATTTATACTCATCTGAAAATCGTGAAATGGTAATAAATATAATTTTTAATATTTAAAATACAAATACTTTCTAAAATATTCAACTAAGTATAAATTTAAAAAAGTATTTAGTATTTATTCGCATTATTGCCCAATCAGGTTTCTAAAAATTAAGAAATTCTACTGAAAATAGATATTTTTAAACATTTGAAAGATGAAAAACAATTTAAATTTTTTTTAAAAAGTAAACCTTGCAGGCAGATGCAAGAATATTGTTGACGGGGTCGTAGGCCAACGAGAATATTTCGTTTCCATGACCATACCTTATTTAATTAAATAACATATCAAATGTTTCATAAAAAATTTACAGTTTTTTCTCTTCTGGCCATAAGGTGCTCTGATGCAACAAGTTCTCGCTAGGATATTCTGTATAAAAAAATTTTTTTAAAATCGAATTATAGATTTAACTAAGAAAGAATCACAATACTAAACTTTTTTACCTCTGATACGATAAATTTTAAACTCCAAGAATCACTCTTTATTTTTTATTATATAATCCAATAGTATAATAATAATAATCATATCCTTTATATTTTTTACAATCAATAAAATAAAAATATTTGATTGACATTCTTTTAAATATAATACTATATATCTAAGTATAAATATTTTATTATTTACAACATAAACTATCTATATAGCAGGTCTATAGGCCCATTCCTAATCAAAACCCAAGCCAAGACGAAACTTTATAAATATATTTAAAATATAAACAACTAATTCGAAAAGGTTAAAAAAAAGATATGAACCGTTGAAAATTCATCTTAGGACTTGGAAACAACTTCTAAAACATAGAAGATATTATTAAAAATAATAATTCGCACCAGGCCATAATGAACCAAATTTTAAAAAATCCGGACTGGCCTAATAGAATAATGATGAATGAGATATTTATTAACAAATTTTTTTTGAAAGTAAGGTATAAAATAATATAAAATACCTTCACTAAAATTGGCATTATTAACAATATTATTTCGCTCAATGCTCGATTCATCAGTGTATATGGGGAGATTCGTTAAATCTAAAGGGTTATTGCTAGCCGTTTGAGGTAATTTTTCTCCCTATATTTGAAAATATAAATGTATACTTATTTTAAATTATTTATAATATATATCGTAGGGAGGATTATAGTGTTCCATGTCCGTTTTTTCAAATGTTCAGAAGAGCGTTTTTAAAAATTTACGTGGCCTATTTTCAACAAATAGTTATTTTTTTTATCGATAATGCTTGAAATGATATTTAATTTAAGTAACTTATAGCTTGCCCTAAAATAATATTCTCAAAAAACTTATTTTACACCTTTTTTTAAAAAAATAGCCGTATTTTAGAATATCTCATGACTATGTGAGTTTAAGGATATGGAACATGAATTACTATAGTATTATGCAAATTAAGACATGAAACAATATAATAAAGTTACTAAAAATAATTATAGATAATTTTTTCACATTTTTATTGCTGATACAAAAGGAGATGGTAATGAAGAACTGATTTATAGGAAAGGGAGGGGGATCAATTTTGATAAAAAGTGGACCTAGACTAAAAAAGTAATCAACTTGACCATATATAAAATTGTAAATCAAATTTTAAAGAAGGAATTATATAAAAAAATCTGTCATTCAAACACTTAGGCTATGTCCTGGGTTGTTTAAAAACAGTCGTCTGTTTAGCCGTCCAATTATCATTCTCTAAACAGCCTAAAAAGAAAGAGGTCATTTAGATTTATGTAAAAAGATCATTTCTTTATACCGAAAAATTATATGAAAATAAAAAATAATTTTTATAATGTTCAAACTTTAAGAAAAATAAGATAAGGTGTCATCTTTAAAGTAATCTGTTGAGCTTGAGCTAAACAGAAATAAGTTCAAACCAGGAGATGGCTATTTATTTCTCCTTTTTATCGACATATCTTTTAAAAATTAATTTATGACACAAATTTTTTTGCAAGGATTAATTATAATTTTTGTATTGACCATTGGTATTAGTTAAAAATAAATTTAAGCTAAAACCGATACTGACCAATATCACGAGTAACGGTTCGATAGATTTGTTTTATATATTTTTATTTTGTAGAAATTATGCAAAATGCGTTCATTTCTACCAGCGCTAACCATCAATTCACTTAAAAAAAAGGTAAACATGATAAACCTCTATGCCACACCCATTGTCCAAGTCGTTTATACTAGGGTATAACAATTTCTTGGTCCATTTAGAAAGGTTTTGTACAAATATCCTGGGGCATTTGAATATCCTAATAATTTTCTCTTCCGCTCCTGTAGCAAAAGTAAAACTATTTAGACTAGCGATGCAATTTATATCATAACCGTGTATCTGACACCTACTGACCTCGCACCAAACCTTTTGGTTTTCCTATTTTATTTTTAAATGTCGATTAATTTAAATTATAATGACTTTTATCCAGATAAATTGTATAATTATAGTATAATACAACGGCAACGCTATAGAGAAAACGAGTGTTAACGCCTATCCTCGCCTTCACAGTTAGGCGAATTAACAGCGATGTATGCAAAAATGAATGTAAAAATATTACATTTTGAAGTAAAAGGACTTAAGATACAGGTAAATTGGGCGTAGTATCATTCACACGAAGAGTCGTTGTAGGATCCTTTAACCCTTGAGATCCGGTAAGGGTCATAATTTACTAGATATTAATTACAATTAATTAAATTATATTAAAACTCAATATTTTTTAAACCGTAAAAATAATAGAATTTTATATAACGCAATTAATTAATTATAAAAATTTATTAACTAAAATATAGGATAATCATTTTATAGGGAAAATAAGAAGAGCAATTATAAATGAAAATATAATTGACGTAGAGTGAAATAAAAAATGTTCTTGCGAAAAGGAGTTGTGTTAGTTTTATCTTACATAATTGGGTTAAACCCGAACCCCTATATTTTTCGTAACTACCACCGGATTCAAGACGATCTCCGGGACCTAACTATCTAATTTATAATAAATGAACACCTTACTAAGGAATCCATAAATATGAAAAACCCCTGATTAAAAGAAAACACAAAAACCATGTTTTACTTTTAATGTAAATGAAACAAAAGAAGGACTTTAAAAAAACTATATTTAATTTATTTATATTTAAGACTAAACAAAAGAGGGATAAAAAAAGAACTAGTTTAAAATAAAATAAGAGAAACCATATTTAACACATTTAATCATATTTTGTATATTTCGCCGTGAATTCGCGCTAGCTTTGATGCATGGTGACATTAATACCAAACTAGACTGATGGTTTCTTCATTAAAATTCATTTAAAAGTGCATATAAGTTAGCAGCAATGTGTTATTTTTTCAACTTTAAATCATTTTTTGAGCGCGTTTTTAAATTTAAAAATCTGATAAGGAAATGTAATCCATCATGTTTGGAATACCCATCCTATAATTTGTGACATATTTTACATGAACCTTCGAAGTCAATATAATTTATATTAGTTTTTCCATAGATTTTTCATATAAATCATAAATGACTCAAAAGTTAACGGGAAAATTATCTACAATTCCTAAGATAGGTATTCAAACATGCTGAAATACATTTTCAATAAAATCAAATTTATAAATGCGCTCAAAAAATGACTTAAATTCAAAAATTAACACATTGATACATTGCCGCTAACATATACTTGAAAATTCACCATTGAACATATAGAAGAAATGTGAAAGATATTTAGACGAAATGTCGTTCAATAGTATCTAATGTAACAAATGGCATTGAGTACAGCTAACTTGAATGTATTTACCATTTAATCGATGAAACATCAGCCAAGGTTAGTTAGTATTTGTCAATGGTTTTTCCAATGCTTCAAGGAGCTAAATTATATTGCACACAACACAACAATTATTGGATAAGAATAAAAAAAAGGAACATAATAATGACAAAAATGGACTTCCGATAAATATATGGGACAATGCAATCGAGTGGATTGATCCGAACTAACTGATAGAAGATACTGAATAGATGTGGTATCATCATTTGTGGTGGATATACTTTGCCATGCTATATCACTAACCGCTGAAGTGTGTCCCCCCAACATAAAATCCGTTTCCCATTCATAAACCATACCATTACCATCGTTACAAAAAACATCGCCATTTTGAGTTAAAGTTCCGATTTTTTTCCACATGTAAAATCCACCTTTTAGCGTGTGAGCCAGTATTCTATAACCAGTGGGGTCGAATATCGCTCCATAAAAGCCCAGTCCTTTGATAGCACCCAACCTTTTCTATGTACATTCATAATGATTATCAATGGCTACGTTTTTGTTTTGCTTAAATTCAAATGTTATTGTCGAATAAACTTATTTTCATGACTAATTTTAAAAGCAACGAATAAACGCTTCTGCACAATTTTTAACCGTTATTATATTGTTACAATATCGATTCATTTAAAATAGCATATTGTGGTTTACATTTACAGAAATAAGCTTGGTTCCGATTCTAAGATTTAGTATTGTAATGTTTGGTTTGGAAAAAATTGAAAATATAAGAATTTGCCCTCCATCATGAAAAAAAAACTTTATTTTCGTAAGTGAAAAAAAACTTAAACATCTATTTTCTCATCAATTCTAAATTTTTTTAAAATTATTGCAATCCTTATTTTTTTAAAAATATAACGTATACAAATATTTTGCAATTCATGTTTACCAATTATTTTAATAAAATTAAATTGAAAGAATATGCATTAATCGACGATTAAATTAGGGTATTTTTTTCAATAAAATATGTTATATCAGCAAACCATTGCGGAATTTACTATCGAAATATACTAAGACTGACCAACACGACCTATTAGCAGTGATAACTGAAGATGTCAAAATATTACCTTTTTCTATTTTTTGTTTTATCTATAGGCTGGATTAATAAAAAAACAACAAATCCTAACCATTTTTTTCTATTGCATAATATAATTAATGAATAACTTTGTCAATCCAGGTATTTGATAATTCATCATATTCCCATATTATTATGGACTCGTCAATGGAAGCTGATATAAAGGATAGTTTGTGGGAATCATTTTTATCGTCTATGTGAGCTTAAAAAAATATATAATTTTTGACAGAAATAATAGTTACAAAAATGAGACATAACAATATTACCTAAGGGATGCCAGTACACTGAATAAATCCAATTTTTATGGGCATTCAACGAAGCTTCGAGTGTTATCGAATATGTGTTTGTTAATTTCGCAATCTTATCATAATCTAAATAAAAAAATTTGAATCTTTAACATCAATCATGTTTTATATTTGAAAGAAATTCAATGCCAAGTCATATATTTTATTTAAAATGTGATTATGTTTAAATTTACCAATGGAGCCAGAACCTTGGTAGGAAAAAAAATCAGGAACTTGTTAAAGAGCGACTAGTTCATATGATGTAATATTGTTCAAAATGTTGTGCAATTAGTTTTAAAGAGTCTATATTAAAAAAAATCCACCATTTTTTTATTAAGTTTGAAACCGGAAACAGCCTTTACCGCGTAAAACTTAGAACGTAAAAATTTAAATTAGAACGAGAATCATTTTTTAAAAAAAATATTCGAAGCCGAAATCTTCTTTTGATCAAAGTTCCAAACTTCTGTTTTACAATTTTATTTAATAAAGATAATAGTTTTATTCAAATATCAATTTTAAAAAAGTAGAAAGTATTTTAGACCAAAAATAGCAATCTATAGTTTAATAATTTCATTTTCAGTTCCATATCCAAAGAAAATTTATGACATTTATTATATTAATCTTTATTTTTTTGTGTTTAATTTTTAGGAACATTCCAAAATTTATTTAAGGTTTGATAAGTTTCGGTAATAAATATATATTTTGTTGCCTAAAAAAATATTACATACCGCTCAAAAAAAACTTCGCTAGTTAACTTTTGCTATTCTATTGTCGAGCAGGTGTCTATCAAAATGTTAAATTACAGGGTAACAAAAATGATATCGTCGATATCTTAACCTTTTATCATACCACTGGTTGATAAGAAATCAAGCTATTATCATAAATAAATTATTTGTTTGTATAAAAAAGTGGAATTTAAAATTTTAGGATTGTTTATAATAATTAATTTTGGTTACGGATTTTTTATATAAAATATATTATCAAATAAGATCAAAAAAAGTATTCTTATATAATTTTGAATTTGTTTTTCAATAAAATAAAATTTTTTCAATAACAAATTGTTGATCACCTTGGTGTCAGTGAATCTCTATTATATAATTTTGATATAATAGACCTCTTGAGATCCTCACCAGTGAGTTATTTTTATGCACTCTGCCCCTATCTTATAACATGATTTATCTTAGTTTTTATTTTATGTATATTCAATATAAAACATTTATAACCCTTATAATTGGAATAATATTATTAGTTAAATGTTTAATGGATGCCATTATAGGAATGAAAAAAAAAAGTTGTTGAGATCTTTATATTTATAATTTTTTGATGGGTTAGTGAATATCTTGGAGTTTGAAGGGAATGAAGTAACCCAAGTATAGACCCATATTAATGATTTGCAGTAGACATTTTACTGAAGCCAAATAATTCTTCTACATAGGACAAAATTTTCAAATTTTTAGATATAATTAGGTTTCTTTTTGCACATTCTTTTAAATTTAGTCTTTTTATTACTATTTTTTATTTCAAATATAATGTTTAAAAATTAAAGTATTTTATGTTATAAATAAAATTAAAGTATATTTAATAATAAATGAAATAACATAAAAAATAACTGTATATGATTAGGGTAAATATATATGATTAAAATAATATAATAAATAAATTTTTGGCTCAAAATAATTTAAGTACTAGTAATTATGTCAATAACATCTCCAGATATGTCCTTTTCATTTCTGTCCTGTTTTATTAAATTTAAAATTCTCCATACTTTAATAGTCAAATCTTGTGAACATGATAATAAATATATAGTATCTTGGTTAAAAAAAAATCAAAATATAAAATAATTAAATAAACTATGAATTTTAATAATATCTAAGCCACGAATCCAGTCCATATGGCCCTTTATATTTATATTAGAATGATTTAATATTACTGGCTTATTAAAGTTTGATGAAATATTAATCATGAATATATTAATATCTCCATTTGTTAGTCCACATGATATGAGTAGACCTTTTGTAATAAATATTATATTTTGGAAATAATTAATTGTACTTGTTTCAGTTAATTTAATAAAGCTTGTTGATATGACATAATCATACTTAAATTGATAAGTAAGGGAATGTGAGATTGATTCTTTTTTAATCATGTTTAAAAAAATTTAATCTTTTGAAAAATGTATGAAATATATAAGAAACCTTTTATATTATATAAATTAAACATTATATCAGAGTTCATGCTACTTAAAACAAGGAATATTTGATGTTCTGATAAAAATTTTATATCCATACTAAGTATAGGCTGGGAAGATTTGCATACAAAATCTTTCAAAATATTCTATAAAATGGTATAAAAACATTGTAATTTTATAAAACCTTATGTTTATCTTTGAAATATGACAACTTTACCTCTCCTTCCTTTGAAGCTGAGGCCAATAAATCTTGTTTAAGTAAATTATATATAACACAATCAAATTATTTATATACAACAATTATATTTACCTATATCTTTAAAAGAAGCCCATTTAAGAAAAACAATTTCTTCTAAATGCTCACAATAAATATCAATTATTCTTCCAGAATTTTTAATGCTTTTACACTTATATTTATGTTAGGTATTTTAAAATTGATAATTTTATTACGAATGGTAAGTATATCGCTATTGAGTTTGTTAAAGCATATGCAATAAGACCATTTTTGCTCCATGACACAATGTTAGGACTGTTATTACAGCCTGCGCTTGTATAAAGTAGATCACAGGAGAGAAGCATAATCTTTAACAACGGCAACTTAGAATTTTAAAACGACTGAGAATATTTTTGACAGTGACATTTGTGTATATGACATATATGAGAATATATTGATAATTATGGGTACAAATTTAAAAATTATTTCCATTTTCTCTAATTTATGTAAAAAATAATTAAACAAGTGAAATATTTTAATATTTAGACCGGCCTAAAAAATAAGAAACCAGGATTTGGCTATTTTTTTTTCAAGTCTGTTATCGGGCGGATTTCAAAAAATAAATTTAAATTATTTTGACCTCTGCAGTTATCATAAAAAAATCGTAATTTATAAAATTTATATGATTATTTAAAGAATATATTTTAATTATTTGGTTTGTTAAATTTTCTCATTATTTATATAAGTTTTTAAAAAATTAATTGATGCTGAAAACTTTGTTTATTCAGATCCCTTATAAATAATTCTATGATAATTTGATAAGGATTCTAAAAAATTTCTAAGATCATATCTAAATTGAGTCCCGAGGGAACCCCACCGTTTTATTTTTTTCCACCTGTGCTAAGGGTTGAGCCTATCTTATATTTATTTAATTTCCAACATGGTCATAAATAATGAAGTCCTACATTTAGCAGATTTTTAAAAAAATTTGCTTTCAGTCGTAACTATACCCCTCTCTTCAACAAATCCCCTATAAAATATTGCAGATTTTGCGTTAATATAATGGTTATTTTCCTTTTTCCCATTTATGTTATCAGATAGAATAATATACAAATTACATCTATATAAAAATAGTCTCCTTAAAAATTATTTTCACTTTATTTAAAAGAGAATATTTTTTGTTTCATGATATTTTATTTCTAATAATAGATATGTTTTCCATAGTTTTTTTACTCATAAATTGTTTTTTCCCAGTTTTTTTGAGATTCGCAGTTTTCATTCCTATGTTTTTTCCCCGCAGTTTTTCGGTAAAGAATTCTTCCCACATGCTTTCCATTTTTTTTATAGATTAACATTATAAAATATTATTATTTATAAATAAAAATATTAAAATATATAATATAAAACTTGAAACGTCATCTAGAGAATATAGTAATATATAATGTTCAAAATAATTTTGAAAATTTTTATACTTCATTATTAAATAAGATGAGTTTACAACATGAAAACAGTTTATTTTTACCATAATTCTTTTTTTTTTAAATATATATTTTTTAAATATTGACTCAAAATAATATAATTTTTTTTATCGAATATTTATTTTTTACAATACATAATTGTCGCTTTTGTAGATATTGTTACAAATAAAGCGGTCACTTAAAAGCTTAACAAAGCCTAAAATATATTTAAAAATTTTCAAAGTTGTAGTATTAAAAGCTGAGGAATTTACACAATTTTTATTAAATTTGAATTTTATTATTTAATAAAGTAAAAAGGAATAAGTATCATTTTTCTATAAAAAGTTACGTTATATAGTATAGTCATCTACATAGTCATGAACAATGTATGTACCAACTAAAAAATATGAATAATATAAAATTAGCATAACATCAAATTATCTTAACAAAGTATAAACTTATAAAATTTAGAATAATAATATCTAATTATTATAATATAAAATATTCAAAAAATAAATTCCAAAAAAGTGGTCACTATGATGTTATTATTACAAAAAAACAACTGGAATTTTTTTTATAAAAATACATTTTCAAAGTGGTTACTCATCAGATTTGTTAAAGTATCTAGATATAAAAATGTGGTATCTGTATCTAGATAGATTCTTTTTAATATCTGTATCTGGATAGATTTTATTCAAATATCTGTATCGCGATCTAGATGTTATTTTAGATGTATCTATATCTGTTTTTAGATACCTTTAAAATACATTTTGATATATTTTTATTTTATTTTTATATTATAGATAAATATATTTGAATGCAAAATTTATTTTATTTCATATGATGAGTGTATAATTTAAATATATTATGTTAAAAAAATATTAAGACTTAAAACTTATATATAAAAAAGATATATATAAAAATATTTATTAAAAAACAACCTAAGTTTTTATTTAATGAATGTGATTTTATTCATGAATATTGTTTAGTAAGTTGTAAAAATTTATATATATAGCATTATTTTAAATTAGCTAATGAAGCTAGTAGCTAGTTCTCCTTATATTTTTCAGGGAGATAAATATATGTGCACGCTTAATTACTGTGCAACTATTTCACTGCTAATTATCAAATTGAAGAATTTTAAACAAATGAACATGAGATTTTGTTTACTACTCCTAGATGCCTTACTTAAAGGGATTGAAGATAGGAAAATTAATCAATATTTGATCTAGGTTATTGGGACAATATTTGAAGATGAAAATATTATAGCAATTATGTTCTATCCTTTTTTTTTAAACTTGATTGGACATCAGAGTTGTACATTTGCTCAAAATAAAAAGATCTTCAAAGATCTAGATCCTTGAAGATCGTAAAATTTGAAGATCTTTTATTTTTTAAAAATTTTGTGTAACGATCTTCATGATATTTATTTTTTTACCCCTTTATTAAAAGCCCAGATGTTTTTCAATTTTATTAATATAATATTTCTTTTATGTTTTATACCTCTCCTCCTGCCTTGATGAAAATTGAAAAACATCTGGGCTTTTAATAAAGGGGTAAAAAAATAAATATCATGAAGATCTTTGAGGATCGTTGATCGCAGCGATCTTCAAAGATCTAGTTCTTTGAAGATCGTTACACAAAATTTTAAAAAAATAAAAGATCTTCAAATTTTACGATCTTCAAAGATCTTGCTCAAAAATCTTCAAAGAAGATCTTTTGTACAACTCTGTTGGACATGGTTATAAATGAATAAAAATTTTAATAAAAAATAATAATTAATACAAAGATTAGCTGATGAATTTTTAACAGCTGATTGCAAACAAATACCTGTGAAAAAAAAACAAATAATTTAATATCCGATTTTTTTTAATACCCCAATAATTATTTTAAATATGATTGTCAAGATTTTTTATAAAGATTATCCTGATATAAAATTGTTATTCATGAAATACAGCAACACAATCCCTTTACTTGCCCTATTTGTAGCTGAAAATGACTTTACATATAAATGAGGATGCCTTAATGACCAAAACTTTGAAAATACAATTATTACTCAAATCTAATAATTGTTTATAATCATTTAATCATATATTATATCCAGTGGCGTAGAGAGGAAATAATTTTATTTAAAAATTGATTTCAATTTATAAATAAAATTATATACGATATGAAAATGAAATATTAAAAAAACAAATAAGAATTTTTAATTTTAAATGATAACAGCAGAGTTGTACAAAAGATCTTCTTTGAAGATTTTTGAGCGAGATCTCGCTTAAAAATTTGAGCAAGAAGTTCTTTTACTTTTATAAAATTTTGAGTAACGATCTTCAAAGATCGAGATCTTTTGAAGATCTTTTATTTAATAATATTTTAGATCAACGATCTTCAAAGCTCTTCATATTTTATAATGTTATAGTAAATTTATTTTTTTGATATTATTTTTGAAGTAAATGGGTTAGTAAGCATGTTAAATTAAAATAAAAATTTAATAAAGATGTACCGACAATTTTCATAATCGTTAGTTTTTTTAAACTTTATTTGACAATTTATATTTTAAAAAAATTTATATTAAAATTTCAATGAAGATGTAATGTAAGTAACACAAAAAAGTAGCAATTGTAATAGTCGATCTTATTCGATTTATTGTATCGTAAATAGGTTATAATTATTATTATTAAGATGTAAAAATAAAATTTCAATGAAGATATATTATAGAAAAGTAACAATTGTTATAATCGTTATTTTTGAAAATTTTTTTAAAGCATAGATATTGTTAACATGTTAAATTAAAATATCAGTGAAGATGCACATGAAAGTGACAATTGTCATAATCGTAATTTTTGAACTTTTTTGAATTTTTTTAAGGCAAATGGGTAAAAATTGATATTGTTAACATGTTAAGTTTAAATTTCAGAGAAGATATACTATTGGAAAGTGACAATTGTCATAATCGTTATTATTGAACTTTTTTTAATTTTTTTAAAGCAAATGGGTAAAAATAGATATTGTTAACATGTGAAATTAAAATTTCAGTGAAGATGTACCACAGGAAACTGACAATTGTCATAATCGTTATTTTTGTACTTTTTTGAATTTTTTTAAAGCAAATGGGTAAAAATAGATATTGTTAATATGTTATATTAAAATTTCAGTGAAGATGAACCACAGGAAAGTGACAATTGTCATACTCGTTATTATTGAACTTTTTAAAATTTTTTTAAAGTAAATGGGTAAAAATAGATATTGTTAATATGTTAAATTAAAATTTCAGTGAAGATGTACCACAGGAAAGTGTCAATTGTCATAATCGTTATTTTTGAACCTTTTTGAATTTTTTTAAAGCAAATGGGTAAAAATAGATATTGTTAACATGTTAAATTAAAATTTCAGTGAAGATGTACTATAGGAAAGTGACAATTATCATAATCGTTATTTTTGAACTTTTTTGAATATTTTAAAGCAAATGGGTAAAAATAGATATTGTTAACATGTTAAATTAAAATCTCAGAGAAGATGTATCACAGGAAAGTCAAAATTGTCATAATCGTTATTTTTGAACCTTTTTGAATTTTTTTAAAGCTAATGGGTAAAAATAGATATTGTTAACATGTTAAATTAAAATTTAAGTGAAGATGTATCACAGAAAAGTGACAATTGTCATAACTGTCATAATCGTTATTTTTGTACTTTTTTGAATTTTTTTAAGGCAAATGGATAAAAATATTTATTGTTAACACGTTAAATGAAGATGTACTACAGGAAAGTTACAATTGTCATATCGTTATTATTGAGCTTTTTTGAATTTTTTAAAGCAAATGGGTAAAAATAGATATTGTTAATATGTTAAATTAAAATTTCAGTGATGATATATCACAGGAAAGTGACAATTGCCATAATCGTTTTTTTAAACTTTTTTGATTTTTTTTTATATATAACATAGA